TGTCCAGAGTATAATCGCAGCCTTTGCGGTTAGAAAATTGCACTTGATCATGTCGCGATATTATCGCAAATGCGATATATCGTTCAGCCCTATTTTATAATAGACAATTATATTAAAGATGTAATGGGAGAAAGATGTCAGTTGTTATATTTGTTCATTTGGTCAGTGTTGTGTTGTATGCATGTTTGAACACGGGCCACAGTGCATGCATTGTTATCTTTGTCTAGGTACCAGCAGGCTGGCCAAAGCAGCTTTTAATCACATCTTTGCTCTCTGGTACTGACGCCTGTTCCTAGAAAGCAGATGTGACAACTCAAAACATAAGTTTCCCTCTGAGTAGACTAACCCCAGCATGAGAAATGATGATTCATGGATTAGTGCAGATCCTCCCTCAGATTATATTAAACTGACAGGCAAAAATCTGCGCTATGGCTGATTTATTTCAATTAATTTATTTTTCTTCCTCTTCAGGCCTTCTCTGCTTGTTCACTCATATAAGAACACAGACATGTATCTTCACTGTAGCACTGTATATAGTCATATGGCAAAAACGGCTGTTCATAAACGCCAAACAAACTAATAATAAAAACATATTTATTAGTGCTGTCAATAGATTTTAAAAAAATTAACTAATTAATTTCACATTTTTCTATAATTAATCGCAGTTAGTTGATCGCTAGCCTGGTTGCAATTACATTTTTGGCAACTTCATATTTAAGCTTGTAACTGACATTTATGCAATATAATGAAGTAAATGGCGAATAAATACAAATAATGTATTCAAAGAGAGTTTGAATAGTTTTCTTCAATCTTTTAGCACAGGTTCTCTCCTGTGAAATACAACTTTTTAAAAAACCTATATACTAATTGGTAAGTGTACACTAACATAATATATATTAGTTCTGTCAAACAATTACAATGTTTAATCAGATTGATCACAGGGTTACTGTGGATTAATCATGATTAAATATCATCCATTTTCATTCTATATTAATCGCATTTCATTTTGCATGAGCAAACAGACTCGAGAAAAAAGGGAAAATATACGCACTTAAAATGTTTATTGAACATCTTGAAGATTTATGTTCACAAAAACCTTTGTAAACATTGAACGAGGATAAGACAGAAGTTATATTTTTTGATAATCGCACCCCACTGGAACAACTAACTGATGCCTTAGGGCCCCTTGCCAGCCATCTCTCGCTCACTGTTATAAACCTTGGTGTTTTCCTGCACAGCTTTTTTTTAAACTTGAGAAACAGATCTCCTCTGTGGTAAAAAAACCAGTTTCTACCAGCTGCGTCAGATATCTAAAGCAAAGCCGTAACTCCCTTTGAAGGACCTTGAAAAGCTCATCCACGCTCTTATCACTTCCAAATTAGACTTCTGTAATTCCCTGTACTCGGACCTCCCATCTTCCTCTATTCACCGGCTCCAGTTAGTTCAAAACGCAGCTGTGCGTCTCTTAACTGGTACTAGAAATTATGCCCACATCACACCGGTTTTAGCCAACCTACATTGGCTCCTTGTTGAATATCGTATCAATTTCAAAATTCTCTTGCTTACCTTTACAATTTTAAACAATTTGGCTCCCAGCTATCTATGCAAACTCCTCCATTTGTATATCCCTAATAAGACACTTGGATCTTCCAATCAAAAGCTCCTGATGCAACCGAGGTCTCGTCAGAAGTCCAGAGGTGATCGGGCCTTTGCTGTCGTAGCTCCCAGATTCTGGAATAGCCTCCCTCCTTTTATTCGTTCCTCCGAGTCATCCAGTCTTTTAAATTGCGTCTTAAAACGTATTATTTTAATCTGGCTTTTGATTCAAGCTAGTTATGTTTTTTGGGTTTTTTTTGTTTGTTTTACCCATATTGTTCATATTGTTTCTTTTAACTGTTTCTTTTTATTCTTTCTTATGCTATTGCTCTGACTAACTGTGAAGCATTTTAATCAACTTTGTTGTATTATTATGTGCTATAGAAATACATTTTGATTTGATTTGAAACATTTATCCACTCTGTCACTCTTGGTGAGGCACTTCAAGTCCTTGAAACGAGGAACTAAAGCTATGTAAAGCGCGTGTTCTTAACGATATTAATACATATGCATATGCATTTTGTTGCAATCCACTTGGCAATTATGTCAGTTAATATTTCCGAGGTAGACTTACTGAGTCCCCGATGCTCCGTGAGTGGTTTGTCGCAAGCTGGGTGACGCACTACCCAAAGTCCTACCAGCATCCCCGACTAACGTATGCTTCATCAAACTGCCCGAATTGCGTTGACAGAAACATTTCAGGGATTTTGAGTCATTCTGCACTCCAGATGCGTTAATTGCGTTAAAAAAACTTTAATCGCGGATTAATTTGTGTTAACGCGTTAATTTTGACAGCACTAATATTTATGGTTTTTCTTATTTGCACGTAATTAATTACAGGCACTATTAGCTTGATGAACACTTATTTACAGATGTGGCTAACAGGACATTTTAACTACCCCAGAGTGTCACTGCATGAAAAATTTTTGAGCAAAATGTATTTAATAAAAAAAGCAGCAATGTAAATGTGCAAGTTATGTCAATAGCGTACACGTAACACAGGCATGCTGTTGCAGTTTGTTTTGAGATGAGTTAAATATAATTTGTCAGGATCTGAGTGTTGTAAAATAACTCAGAAAAGCTCTCCAGATGTTGGTAATCCTGATTGTAGTGGAAATTGGGTCTAGCTTGATCACCAGATGATGCATGCAATGCAATGTTACGATATTGTTTAGATTTATTTAATAGCAGTTTGGGTAAAAATTAATTTTTATTACATGAACAAAAGTTAGCTAGTGGAAGGGCACACATCTTTAACTCTAAGACATTCATGCAGATTGATTAACAAATTTAGGAAGTGATGGGGAACGGGCGTATATTTGTAGGCTAACAAACTAACATCCAAAAAGGGAATTGTCTCACCGTGCGATGAATAATCTTAGGTTTCACTAAAAGTGCTTGCTTTGGTAATACGCATGTGAGTGTCCAAACTAAAACAGCCACAGGACTGTCTGGTTGCTCTGTACTGGTGCATCTTTCTGTGTATGATGTTTGCACACTAATCTCTATTAACATCATAGTCTTTTTATAATCTCTCTCGTTGGCGTGTTGAATTTTAATAGCCATTATTCTAAAATCTGAGATGTTCATGCTGTTTAAACTACAGAATATCCAATCCCCCCTCGTGGATAATGGCATTGTCATCCTGAAAGACACCATTCCTGTCATGAAACCAGTGCACGATGAGCTGAAGGTGATTCCTCAGATTCATCATGTAAGTATTTAATACCTGAGACCAGAAGCTTAAAGGCACGGTTGGATCAGATTTTTATCTGGAAAAGTGTGCATATCAGTACAGAGCTTCCATTATGCCTGATTATAGGGAGACCTCACTGCAAATTAATTTTGTATGTGTTTATTACATCATGCATTATGTGTCCTTTAGTTATGTCTTGCTATGCACTTCTTTCTACAGCAGGTGTCAGACGAGCAGTCGTACTGCAAGCCTGTCAAGAACCAGCAGGAAGCACAGCTGTGTAAGCTGCCTCGTCATCATCCTCTGTTCAGGGAGGCACACAGTGATGATGGTACGTAGTATTTTAGATCCTCTGTGTAATTGTGTGGTGTGTAGTTCGCCAGATTACCAAGTACTGTGTTTACCACAATGATTTTATGTCTTGTTTTAGGCTTACATTTTTTTTCCATATCTTTTTCTTGCTATATCTGCTAATAAATGAACTCAAGTTTTGTAAATTTCTAAGACTAAGGTGGTTAATGTTTTTGTTTTATCACTTCACCTTGTCTTCCTAAAACATAATGGATTCACCATCTCCTTCCTTCATTTATGCCACACCTGTTATCCATAGATTTATATGTAGATGTGCAGGTCATCCAAGAGGAGAAAGAGGAGTGGGCAAAGCCACTAACCCAGTTATGGCAGTGTCTGCCATTTAGCCCTGCTGCAGAGAGGGAATATAACAAACGCATGGGCCAACAGGCTCCCTACTGCTCTATCTGCCTGCTTTTCTACACTCACCATCAGGTAGGAACTAAGGGCCTAAATTAACAAAACCACGTGTAGTCTATGTAGGTGTGGTTAGTTTTACAAGTGGTTCACAAAAGTTCTTGTTTTCTAAACACAGACACACTCAGTTCATTTAAATGTCAAGGAGGAAAAAAGACGTTTTTTTGCTGTTAGGTATTGTCACAGTTAGCAGTGAACTGTGTGTCGCAAACATTAGTAAATCGGTTTGTCTTGTATTCATCTATATTATATCCTTGCTTCTGTTGTAGAAAGAGCAACTATGCATTTGCAAATAATATAATGTGTTAGATATATTAATATACCTCTTTAAATAAAGATTGCAATAAATATGCTGGATGTTTCCTACAGTTACCATAGTACTGGATTAATCAGAATTTGAGGAGAACAATGATGCTAACAAACCTCTAAACTTTTTCTCTTTTAAGTCTGAATCCAATACTGGGAGTTCTAGTGTGACACTGGTGAACCGTCCAGGGGGCCAACAGTGGTCTAAACCACTGATCCCTGAAATGTGTTTTAACACCCAGTCCAGTAAGATTACTGACAGCGGGGAGGGGCAGCTGTCTAACCCTAATGTAGCTGAGGATGGTACCAGCCGCCTGGTGAGCTGCACTCAGTGCTGCGTACGTGTACATACAAGTAAGCCTATTTTCTCTGATGCATCTATTAAAATAGTTAGAAGAAGGCTGAAGGATTATTAAATTAAATCGTAATTACATTTAGTACATCCAGACCTGTTTGTTTTTCTTTAGGAAACTAGCACTCAGCTGCTTTTTTTTCTTAAGCTACTTTAATAAACCATAATTCAGGCACATCAAAGATGAATACATAAACACCCCTTTGACGCTTAAAACGATTCAGCCAGTTCCTCTAGCAGCTGCTGCACAAAGTCTCAAGTGAATGGTTTTGCTGAATGACGTGCTAGAGTTATTTGCTTCACAGAGAACATAAATGGGGAGTAATGAAAGTGGAAAATTTGCTGCAAACAGTAGCCCTCAGTTTGTTTTTTTAAATACCTTCTGCACTGCTAACAGTTGATGGTTTAAAAATATTATACTTAGAAAAGCAAAATAAGAATAAGCAAAAAGTTGATTTTAGCATCTCTGCCCTTTTAAGCTTTGAAATGTCTGAGTTTGTTTATTTCTGGTTCTGTTTTAGGTTGCTATGGCATTTCCAGGGATGATGCAGAGCTAGCTGAATGGCTGTGTGCCCGCTGTGAGGCTGACGCCATCACTGAGGTTAGTTAATGAAGGCATGTCCTTCGTTTTTAAAAAAAAAAAAAAAGTCTTTAGCCCTGCTTAGTTGTAAACTTGTATCTAAATGAATAATTTAGTACATGTATTTAGTCTAAATGGCATCACATCCATTAGTGTTAGCTTGTGTATGTTGATTATGTTACAGTAAAATAAAGTGTTTAGCAGTGTAGCCTGCTGCTTGGAAAGGCTCATAAATGGAAGCAGCTTACCACTGGAATCTTAATGGGCCCCATTTGTGTCACTCTTTCATAGCAGTTCTGTTGTCTGCTAAAAGAAACGGAGGAATGTCTGTTAAAATGCACAAAAAACATGTGTGTATGTCTTTAATTAAGTGTTAAATGTAAAGTAAAATTAGATGAGGTAAGATGTAAACAAAGCTACTGTATTACAGGCCAAGAATAAATTTGTGCTGAGCCACATTCACCATATAGGATGATAACACACTCACTGTGAGGCCATTGGCATTGAAATATCAGTTTCTGTGGTTGCATTGAAACCAATACATGTACTCCTTACTTAAAATATATAAACATGAGGTGGTTTTACCCACACAAAAAGATGTGAACAGCTCGCTACCTGAAAGTACCTGAAACAAAAAATCGGAAGGTAACATAAAAGGATTACCAGTAAAGACATGCTGTGTTCACGGCTACCTTCCTCAGAGGAATGAATAATTGGTACTGTTTCCCAATTACTAGAATTGCAGAACTTGTACAACAGATAAACTTCAATTGTGAATTTATTTGACTGAAGTTGAAATGATTTGCAGCTCCGGCTGCAAAAAATCTCTTGGCAATTTTTGTGAGTGTGAAGATACTTTTTTTTTTTTTTTAAACAAAGGTGTCTGCATATGTGCACATGCCAGCTCTTTCTCTCTGTCAAAACATTGTACTACTACTGATGATGATAATAATAATAATAATAATAACGACAACATATTTCATGATACAGAATAAGGCATAACTGTTCACGTCAGCACTACAGAATTGGCTTGTTGTTTTTTGGGGGGTAAACAGAACTGAGAGCCGCATCATTAAAACTTGGCTCTGTATGACGTCGCTTCCTCTCTGCAGAGATAGCGTTAGTGGCCCCTTCCTCTTGGTGGACATGTATTTTTTTTTTCCACCTTTTGTTTTAAAAGATTATCTGAAAATTTCCTTTGCTCTCAGCATTCCCATCAGCTCAAAACAATAGGGAACTATTCTGGGAATGTCTCCTGAAGATAGTCTAAATCCCTCTGACCACTAGTGGGCAGTGCTCCACTGTACACTTCATTAAGCCTGAGACGATGTTATGTAGTTTTGTGTTTATGTGTCTTTTACTTGTGGAAGTTTTCGGTCTTATCTAACTTGATGTCATGGTTTAAGTAGACTAAAAAGTTTTTTTGGGGGTTTTTGGTAGGTTTACTTAAAATGTTATTGCTACAGATTTCCTTGTTCTGTTTTTAGCGAATTTTAGGGCTTTAATCAGGATTCAGGGTGTCCACATTAAGCTGTTACTTCCCCATGATTCACAGATCTTGTGTCAGTGCTTTTCTGGTTTATATCTTGTATAAAGGTTTCTAAAAAAGGTGTATAGAAAGTGTATAGAAAGCTATTAAAAATAGCTTGCAATAATTTTTATATTTATTCACAGAAAAGTAAATATTAACAAGATAATAAAATGTGAATATTACTGCCTGGCATAGCTTTAAATGACTTTAAGAGACTTGATACATTCAAGTCTTTTTGTCCAAATTTTTAGAAGCAAAATAAACAGAATTTTTTTTTCCTGCATGTGATTCTGTCATGAATGTTGTGCAGCTTTTTGTTTATTGGCGACACTCAGCGGTTTATTTACTTGAAACATGCAAAGGTGGTTTTTTGTGTTCTAGCACATGTCTGTTGGGTTTGTAGGACAAACAAATGATCAGACAAGATTAAGCCTCATATGACTGATTTTTTTTTCCCATGCAAATCTTTTACATAATTGTGGTTTTCCTCCAGTGTAGACTAAGAACAACATACTGTCCTAATCAAAACATTCAGTTTGGTGTAATAAGAGAAATGAATCATATACTACAGCTAAAAATATATGATTCATGTTTCTTTTTGCAGGACTGCTGCCTGTGTTCCCTGAGAGGAGGAGCTTTACAGAGAGCCAACAATGACAAGTAAGAAGTATTGAAATAAACAAGTGATGATATTCTAAACACAACTTTGTCATTTACACACAGTAATGCAGCAAGAGGTTGAAACTGGGGCTCTGCCTCCACCTTTGTTCACTTGTTTGAAGTTGTAAGAACTTCAGTCAGGAAAACATTTCCCTGCTTCTTGGATTCAGTCAATCACGCTCAGTCGTGACATTATGTCATAAAATTGTTGGCATTCTCTTTGACTGCTGTAATTTTTGCTTCCTTTAACCTCTTACCTCTGAAATCATCTCATCCATTAGACCTTTAAACTAATCTAATTTTTCAAATTCATATGTGTGTTGTGCAAACAAACAAACAAACAAACATCTGTGGTTACCCAAATAGAAAAGATTGACTATCTTGACTATATTGACTACATGCATTTTCACACGCACCCGAGTCCAGGAGCTGTACTGAATTTATGTTGAGAGCGCTTGAAGGCAAAATCCTTTAGCCCAGATGATGTTAGTCACACCCTGTTTGAGAGTAGAGCGTTCTCAGTGTGCTGAAGTTCAAATAGCAGATTTTCCTCACACTGTCAAAGTGATATCATTCAAAAGTCATCTTTAGTTCAGCCCAACTGGAGAAACTAGTTTATCTTTAGATTTTTGAAAATACATGATTTAATTTTTTTTACAGTTTCATTCATTTATTTAGTATTGAATATGTGTAGACAATAACATGTATCCCTAAAGCTTTGTCTACACTAATCCGGATAAAGTTGAAAACGGCGTTTTCGTCTAAAAACGCTCTGCGTCCACACTATCGTTTTCAATCGTTTCAGAACAGTTGTTCATCCACTGAAACGCCTGAAAACACTTTTCTGCGCATGTGTGAATCGTGAGACAATTCGACCTGCATAATTTCTGTCTGCTGTTTATTTACTTTCCGGCTCTTTGAAACATCACGGCAAAAGGTCGAGGAAAAGCACCGAGTTTTTTAAATGGATTAACAATGAGGAGTTCTTGTTGCATGTAACACAAAAGTACAAAGTTGCAAAAGCAAGTGAGAATTAAAGAATTTGTAGAAACGCTATCTGGAGCATGTACAAACTGATGTTAATCTTTAATAGGGCTGTCAAAATTGAGCGCAAACAAAACAACTGCTGTATAATGCCCTCTGCTATCTTTGTTTAATTGGTCACATGATTGCATCATATGACTAACATGCGTCATCGTTTTCAAATGAAAATGTATTAGTGTGGACATGGCCTAACATTCGGTGTGGGTGTAACGGCATACTCTTTCTGTGAAATCCAATTCATGTTGCCTTTCACACAGGTGGGTTCATGTGTTGTGTGCCATAACTGTGCTGGAAGCTCGCTTTGTCAACATCACTGAGCGGAGCCCCGTTGACCTCTCTGCCATCCCACTGCCACGTTTCAGACTGGTAAGTCAGCTGTGTACTGTAGGGTTACACATGAGTGCGGTGACCCACACAAGGCCACATGTTTTGTAGATTTGGGGATATCGTTCCTGTGAATGTGGAATGCATCTGCCATGGAATGCAAATGACGCGGT